TATATATATATATATATATATATAGTAGCAGCCATTCAAACTTTCCTTGATGGGCCCTTGACTGGTCCCCAACAATTCCTTTTTAAACATCAGTCTTTGTACTAAAATATTTTTTCTTACATTATTTGTGGACATTAAGATCTAAATTACATACCCTTTAATTCAGTGAAAGGGTGGAGTCAGAGTAAATAAAAATGCACGCCCAGGAGAAGGCCAGTGGCTGAAAGTTGGAGGGGATTGTGCTGGCAGCTGCAGGGAAGAGGGCTGCCATTCGGCTGGCTTATGACTGAGAAGGGGCAATTTGAATGGCTGCTACTGTATATGTCAGACTATGCTGACTGGCATTTACATAACACATTCTCAGTCTGATAGAATGTTTCATTCCAAATACTTATTGTATGTCAAAATAAATGATATAATTTCACTTTTTCTTTTTTTGGTTTTTGATTGCAAATAAGTCTCATTTCATGTTTTGAGCATTTAAACAGATTCTGATACCCACCACCAGGAAGGCAAACCACACCTGAGTCATGCAAATCAAGCTGACTTTCCACTAAGTGCTTTGATCAATGAAAAGTTGAATGGAAAATCAAAGTGTGACAATAAAACTTTTAAAAACCACACATAAAAAAAAAGTTAATCATTGCAATGAACAATCTGTCTTATGACATGCTAACTAGCTGAGGTGCAACCGTGAACAACAGGGATGATTATAAGTGCCTTAAAAAACATTGTGAAATACCAGTAATCATAAACAAAAGGGTGAAGTTATTCAGTACCTTGGTGTTTTTGAGCTGCTGGAGTTAGTGGCTTGGGTTTTAGTAGCAGTGGTTAGTGGTAGTCCTTATAAGAGAACGGAAGGCAGGACTACCTCCAGCGTTACCTAGAGTCTGGGAGTCCAGGTCGTCATCGATAAACTCCTCCCCTTGGATGATGTGCTGGGTGTCCTCGCTGTGGTTGACAGGGCTCGTCATCTCCTGTTCCTTCTCATTGTGCATCTGGGCATAGATGTTGCGGTTTCCAGGAAGCTTCCTAAAAAACAGTGGAGGATAGGCATCCTCAGTCCTAAGCCAAGGACTGTGGGATTTGTTTTTTTCATGAGATGGGGCTGTAGAACTGCATGGCATGTTTTAATTCAAGTGACTTTCTGGTGGATATTTGTGTTTTGGACTTAGGGTTGTGATACTGGTGTCATTTGTGAAAAAAAATTTCATGCAGTTCCTAAAACACAGACTAAGTTTCATGCAAAATATTGCTTTTTTTTGTGCAAAGAAGGAAGAGGGGTACAGTATCTTTTAACGTTAAACATTTTTCAGATTTGATTTTCAAGAAGTACTTTTTAGCAATAATAATGAATCGAGCAAACAAAAGGTTTCATAGCTATGAAGACATTATTTAACATTTCATCATGCTTTACCCATTTTGTTCTAAAAAACAATCTTGGAGTTGAACTTGTCATGCCAAGACCTTGATTTGAATAAATTCAATTCAGTTTATTTATATAGTGCCAATTCACAACACAAGTCATCCCAAGGCACTTTACAATTCAAAGAGATCATCCAGTCAAATTTATTTAAAAAAAATTCTGTATAAGTTTAACTGTTAACTTTTGTGTAAACCTTCGAAAATCCCTTCCTACGGGAAATGGGGCATCAAACATCCTGTACCTCCCAAAGTCTCTAGAGTCTCAAAGAGCTGTTTTTTAAATGATGTCGGATACAAATGTCTTAATTGCTAATTGTTAAAGTAGCACCACATAGAATAGTGGAGCATTCTGGTTCCCTAACACCAGATGGGACCTTTGGGAATCCAGTTGAAGTCAAAACCAGGAGCCACATTTTAATGAGTTTAAATCCATGGCCAAAGAGTCCAAACCACACTGCCTCTAACCATGGGACTCAGGCACCTGTGATTCCAGAATAATACTCTGCAAGTGCATTGAAAAGACTAACCCCGTCCTTCACTCTGGACCATGATGCACTACCAGCAAAATGGAAAGTTCAAGGAACTCTGGCCTAAACTGCATTTTTTTATGTTAATCTGTGGTCAAAATACCATATAAAAGGGGCTTTTTGAGTATTTTCAGTTGTATAAAAATACATTTTCAAGATGAATAATAGTTTTCTATCTAATTTAGAGTTCATGAAACTCCTGTATTTCATTATGGGTATGTACTTTGAAATTCTTACTAAATACATAGATATCTAAGGAATGAACTTTAGAGGTGCACGGGGACTTTAATTGTGTAAGTCCACAGCAAATACAAAAAGTTCTGCAAACCAAGAAGTGAGACTAGCAACAACAAAACTGAGACTAATGCAAAACATCTTTTACTGCTTATAGTGTGCTTTTTAGTTTACGTGTTCTGTGTTTTAAGGTTATTTGTGTATTTGAAGCAGATTTGTATTTGCAGATTTTTGACTATGCTGCTCTATTTTGTGAGTGCAGCACTTCTCATGTGTTTTAAATTGTTTTGTGTTAGTCTTGTTTTTGAGTTTGCTGTAGTTTTTGAATTTGCTGCAAATTTATGCATTAAAAGGCTGCTCAGACCTCTCAAGTGGCATTTCGCCACCTCAAAAGGGGGATTACTGGGAGTTTATTTATTTTAACCCCTTAAGCCCGAAGAGTTTTAGGAGCAATTTCCATCTGAAATTACATATCTGATTAAATCAAGTGTAGCTCCAAAGTTATAAAGTTGAAACTGAGGAATTTTTTTTGCAGTTTTAGTCATTAAAGAATATTTTCTAAGTGGAACTTCTGGCAGTATTGTACTTAATTAACAGTTGATAAAACAGCAAACTAAAAAAAAATTAACATTTTGAGCTTTACATAATGTTTTTCTGAAAAATATATTTTGCAAAACACTTCATCATCAAAATGCAAGCTGTTTTCTAAAGATTCTGGTGTAACAATTTTCCTATACAGTAAAGCTGCTATTGGCCATTTCTTCTTTTGTGATATTTGAGAGAGAAGAAATAAGAACATCAAGATTGATGAAATGGCGCTTGCAGATGCGGGTAAGGTGATCTGTCTTCTCAGCAGACTGAACAGTTTACACACTAAGCATGCCTGCAGATTGCTTCTCTGAAAATGATCCGACAATGACCTCAAACCACTTGGAAAGGTGAGGGTCTCTAGTTTTCACCGATACTAGGCAATAGGGGGTATGAATAAAAACAGCTCTGTGCTGTTGCACAATTCCGGCAAACTTGAACATGTCGGGTGGAATTTAATTATTTATTGCAAAACAAAAAACATTTGTGCAAAAATTGTATTAAAACTTGTATAGAACCTTTAAAGCCCCCTCTTAAAAGGCATGTAGGTGAAGAGAGAGAACAAAATATGCAGGTTATGAAATTACTCTTCATTGTGTGTATATGTGTGACATCCTGCACCCGGCTTTACACTGACATCCTGTGTTGATATGACGACTTGCAAGAACGACACTCCAAATGTTGCTTTAGCATGAGAAGCATCTGTGTTTATGTTACATGTAGGATGACCTGTGAATTTCTGTTATTACATCATTTGGAAACTTTGACGTTTGGGTGTGTGTGCAGGAAGCTGCAGCTTCAGACTTGAGGAAAGCCAGATAGAGCCAGATGCTCAGTTTGTATTTTTGTTTTTAACATAGATAAGCTAAATGCATTCAGACTATATCTTGACAGGGCATAACCCTAGAATAAGTAGGTGAGACATGTTGAGCTAGGGGACGATCTTTGTTTGTAGTCTCAAAGAGGCTAATACTGAGCTGTGGTCCAGGCCTGAGGTAAAGTCTTTCTCTGTATGATGTGTTTATTATCTACAGTTTTGTTATAATTGAACAGAAAACATTCTGTTATTACTAAAGGTATTTTCTCATTTTTGCATCACTTTGAAAACTGTTGCTCACAAATAAAGAATTAAACATCCTTCACCCACTATAGTTCATTCCTTGATGCGCTATATTTATTTAGCAAGAATACATAGTTTTAAAAGCTTAGCAATAAACTTGGAGTTGAATGTTCCAGCAGGGTTTGTAAGTTGTATTCTAAGTAATATATTTATACCAAAAAAGTTAAGAGTAAAAAAAAAACACTAGACTTTTTTTCCCCCAAGTTAGAAGATAAAGACAAACTAAAACCTGAGTCCACCAGTTTTCAGCTCCTAAAAACCTACAACACAGTGATACAGTTGATTCCTTACTGCTATGATATCAATCCTCATTACCATGCAGGCGACCAAAACATCACATCTAGTCAGCCAGGCCAACAATGACCCTAACGACTCCCTTTTCAGAGGAATAGGCCAGTATTGGGTATTGCAGGCTAACAAAGACATCAACAACACTCCACTACTAAGGGGTGGAACCGTTTTTATGGTTCAGTTTGCATGTTTTCTAATCCATAACAAGGTTTTGTTGGGCTACTCTATAAAGTTTGGAACTGCAAAACCAGACATTTTGAGTTGAGAAACCTTCCTGGATGGGAAGCAAAACGTCTTCAGACTTGGAAAACAAAGTCCAGTGGTTTGTTTTTTTACTTTTTTAACTTTATTGGAAGGACAATGACCTGGAGGAATGAGAATATTCACCAGCATAATATGTCTCCTAGTTTTTTTTTTTTTTACAAAAACTAGAAGACATATAAACTAACTCAAAAATAAAAGCTATTATTATTATAATGCTTCACTAAAAATAAATTCACAAGAATGAGTAAAGAATTTCTATAGAAAAAACTACTAACATAACATAACTAACGTGGGGTAACATCTATGAATCCAGACAAACAAGAAATTACTGTTTGCGAGGATGAGGCTTACCTTTTAAACTTATAAAGAATAAATGAGCCAGTGCCAATGACGCTTATTAGGAATATCACAGCTAGTGCCCAAACACCTGGACCTCCAGCTGCTCCATGGTAGCCTGGGAGATAACAAAAAGGCACAGATATCAGAGAAGAACAAAAATATTTTTGTTGGGAAACAGAGCAAAACCAATAATTTCTTAGAAAATATGCATTTGGTGTCAGAGAAGAGGTGTAGAATAGGATGGTACAACACGTTCAAACTGGAGAATATTTAGATCCAGTCGGACACAACAAAAGGAAAAGGCGAAAGGGTTTAAACTGTGTTTGAAAGGGTTGGATGAACGCACCATTCTCTGTCGCTGTGGCTACTGAGTCATTAGCAATTAGACCTATTTAATAAAAATAATTATTAGCATGCTGTTAATGTAAATATGTCAGTAAAATATTAATTGCAATAAAATAAAAAAAGATAATTTTAAATAGACTGTAACAGTCATAACTTTGAAGTCTACCTGCATTTGGGTCGGCTAACATCACCAGCACCCGCAGACCTCCTCGGACCATGAAGCTGATATTCTTGTCGTTGAAAGCTTGCATGACAGCTGGAATACGCTACGAATATGAACACATTTTTATTGCTTAATTTTTACTGGATGTGTCAATATATTTAGGCAAAAAGATGGTAAAATGGATAGACATATAGTAGCTGTGTAGGTTTGTGTGGGTTTACCTTATCAACAAACACACTGCCCTTGGCTTGTTTGGTGTCCAGTGGCAGGACATATAGGTCAGCAGTAGTTGGAAGGCCTGGGTTCACCACAGTAACAAGGGCATCCTGAGGTACACCTGTGGTCTGAGGACATACACTTATAATTAAAGTAGAACTGTGAATGGCTGGTGATAAACACCATTTTTACAAAGAATATCAGTGTATTCTCATTATCAGTTCGTATGAAATCGTACGAAAAGTTTTTGACGTTTTTTTCGTCATATTTCGTTGTATTTTTACGTCTTGCCTCGAGACAAGATATCCGTGCGCATGCGCATCTTACGCACCATTCAATAACATACAATTTAACATACAATTAACCCTAACCCTAACCCTAACATACAAAACAGCAAGCAACCTAGTGAATCATGAAGTAATTATTGCACTTTCCATCCCAGTTTTACGTCCGTCCGCCGATCTGCTTTTTTCGTCTGTCTGGCTGTGCATGCGCACTGATATGGTTTTTCGAGGAAAAACGTCAAAAACGTACGAAATACTGTGCATAACTTTTCATACGATTTCATACGAACTGATAATGAGAATATGTTGAGAATATTTATTGTATCTTTTTCAGCAGCTAATTTTTTTTTCCACATTGAGAACAGCACTAATGCCATCTGAAATGAAACCTATAAAACAAAACTCACATCATGCCTTATATTCTTATATATTCTATAAAGCCTGGAAATCGACACTACTCCAGACATCTTAAATTTAGAAAGTTTTCTAAATGGGAAGTGAAAGATCTTCAAACTTGAACGAAAAGTCCAGTGGTTTTGTTTTTAACTTGTTTTTGGAATCATGACTTATAGACCTGCTGATGGAAAAATGTTAAGAGTGTTGGCAAACATTTAGTTTAGAGGGCAACCTTACAATGTCTACTCAGGGAGTAGGGTGTTAATATGAAAGTCTCAAACAGTTCAATTCAGTTTATTTCTATAGCGTCAATTCACAACACATGTCATCTCAAGGCACTTTACAGTTCAACCAGATCATAGAGTCAAATTGATTCAAGAAAAGCCAGTTGATTGCATCGACTCATTAACTCCAACGCAATCCCTCACACTAAGCATGCTTGTAGCGACAGTGGAGACGAAAAACTCCCTTTTAACAGGAAGAAACCCACAGCAGAACGAGGCTCAGTGTAAGCGGCCATCTGCCGAGGTCGGCTGGGGTTCAAGGAGAAGGAAGCAGACACAGCTGATTGAGGGGAGCTATGGTAGTTGATGGTGAAGATTTAACAGGTTATTCCAAGAGGGTCTCAGAACTAATCTCTTTGTGAAATAATGAGAAACATTTTGGTTTATCCTTTTAATTTTTGAGAAGTGAGCAGGAGATTTTCTTCACATATTAGAATCCAAAATTTCAAATGTTTTGAATAAACCCTGGAGTAAATCTAATTAATCTTCAAAGACCTACCTTAGAGAGAAGCTTGGTGACCACTTTGCCGATGTCTTCCCTCCATTCTGGGATGTTCGGGTTAAAACGGTCCAGGTTCTTGCTGAAGCTCAGGGGGATGACTTGAAAGTTATCTAGAGGTAAAAGTCAATTGTAATCGGAGTTAGAACCCAAAACCCAGATGATCAGAGAAGTCCAGTTTAACCTTAGTATAGTTAATTATAGAAAATCAAAGCTATGGGAACACACCGCTCTCTCTGAACGGACATGTGTATTGCTGCTAATCGTCTTAGAGGAAACATATGAGGCAGTTAGTCTTTTCTGGGCTGTTGGTACAGAAAACTTTAGGGAAATGGGCTACCATTTGGCTGGTGTTTGACTGGGAAGGGCCATTTTGAATGGCTGCTACTTTAAGCAAGCGTTGTTACAATGATGCCGCTTTCAGCCTTAAGTTCTGATAGCCTTACCGTAGACTCTGACAATCTTTGTATCTTGCACCATGGAACGGCCATTGGAAGCTTGGACGGTGACAGAAAATTCTCCGCTCTCTGGGAAACGGGTCAAAAGGCTGTTCTCCAGAGTCAGTTTAGGCTGGAGAAGAGAATGAGAGTCTGATGGGTGACAGGGAAAAACAACACCAGCATAGACCAACACAGCTAGAACTGATAACACGTTTAACTGTTAAATCTCTTATAATCAAATTATTATACATAAAAATATACATTTATTGTGTATATAAAACATACTTTATTATATTACAATGCTTTATTAACATCAAGCTGCTGCTTCAAGAATTTAATCCATTTTGCAGACAACCCTGTATTAAAAAAGTAATGCCTAACTGTGAAGCAGAAGGTTCATTGCATGTTTTCTAGAATTCTTAAAGGGGTCATAGAATGCAAAACCGAGTTTCCATTGTCATAGAGAATAACAATAGTTCAGTGGGTGAAATGGACGTACAGAGAAGTTCAAACCCCATTGATAAAACGGGCAAATGCAAACGAAGCACTGAATTGATGTCAATTTGGGGTTGTTGTCTTATTTGGTTCTGGCCTGTACTTTTGTCACACCCCGAAAGTGACATACAGACCAGCCCACTGGTTCACTATCATAAATGCAGCGTTCCAGAGAAAGGATCTGAAGACTCAATAGGCATGGATTATTTTTGTCTATCAGAACATCCCTGCAAAGTTTGATGCTCAGCTGTTCAGTTGCTGTAAGCATTTTACCGGAGACAGTTTTCAAAATCTTGGACAGTTCAAAGTAGGATTTGCTAAACTTCTTTTACTGAAACGAGCTGGAAAAGTCGAAGTATGACTCAGTTGCTAAGCTGTTGATAGTAATGCTAGCATATCTGTGGTGACCAGTTTTGGATTTCTGTAAAGGAGGACGCTTTTTTTGGGGGGGAGCTCCGGGGCTGGTCTGGGAACCCCGGCGGCCAGGGACAGAGTGACCGAACCCGAACCGGTGACGGTAGACGCTGCCCCATGCTTCCCCCCGCCTGAAGGCAGGCGGTTGGAAGCACGGGGCAGCAGCTACCGGTTCGGTCGCTCCGTCCTTTTCAAAATCTTCGTCGGAGGCAGGTGGGCAGCTCCAGGAACTCTGCTCCAGAGTCCGCTGCTGTCGACCAAAATGCCGGACTATTTTGAAATTACCCCCAGACATTTTTTTTTTAGGTATGAAAAGAGGACATCTGGTCACCCTACCATATCAACAATTTGATGTTTCATGAGTAAGTGCTTGTTGTTATGATGCGTCTTTGCTCAGCAGCTTCGCTCGTTGTAAACCAACCAATCAGCGCATAGCTCATCTAAATATTAATGAGCATACCATAAAAGGAAGAAAATCTGTCGTTCAATCTAGGGCTTTTAACCAGGCTGCATTAGGGCTCATAGAACAGCAAATATGCCATTTTTGAGTCCAACCAATGTTACACACCCTATTCAGAGACCTTAAGGACCAGCTCCAAATAATGACACCGTTAATAAAATCTGAAAAGTTTGGTACACATCAGTGTTTTGTCCCCTGTACACTGATGTAACCAAATAATATCCAGTAGAAACAGTTGCTTTAGAAGTCAGGATGTTTAAAGTGTTGTTTAAACTCAGCTTGAATCCAGTTGTTAGACAACATTAGAGAGAGGACAACTTTGTGAAGACCAAGTAGCACATCTGACTGATAAAGATAAACTTAAGGGATAAATGGGTATTGACTATGGGTATGCAGATCTGACTGGGTATGCTCATCTGACAGAACAGCAGGCTTCGCTTATAAAACAAAGATACTCAGCATTTTATTACTTTTCAGCTGAAAACATAAAGTCTTTGACACATCTGTAAAACTCGAAGATGGTGAAAATGTGAACTAACAGATCAGGCAAGGACAGCATTAAATCAGAGCATCAAGACAGATTATGATCATTCTGTGGTACAGTTTTTTACGGTACTAACATTTTTAAACTTGATGCAATACTAGGAAAAATATTCAAAACCATTTTCATTACCGTGGAAACATTTTTTCAAGGTAAGATTATTTCTATTTATGGGCAAAGAAATTGTTTACAATAAGATAATCAAACCAACATATATAGAAAAGTGTCTAGAGGATTACAACTAACCAAATTAAAAATAAAATCTAATAAATCACTAAATTAATAACTGGTTTAATATGTTTAGAAATCTACTGAATAAATATGTTGGAAATAAATAGAGAAATAAAATGGGAAGATCAAATACATTTTACAAAATGGTAAATGCATGTGATATTTTAAGAAAAAAATCCTAATTTTTAATAGCTACATTTAAGTATATTGTTTACTTATTTATTGGGCATTAATATATTTCTGTTTACATTTTTTATTCTATCACTATTGGCTCTCCATAAATGTCAGCACTTCTTTTTACAAATCCAACAGAAGCACATATGAAACACTGTTGCCAACTTAGCGATTTGAAATGTCAATCTGTAATTATGGGTTTTATTATTCTGTGGCTTAAGGACCCGGTAGTCTGACACAAAGAAACGGAAATTGAATCATATAACAGAAAGTTAAAAGAAACAAATAAAGTTTTTAATTCAACCAAATCAATTTTCAAAGCAAATAAACTATTTGTCAATGAAATTAGATTCATTTTCAAACTAATACATTGAATGAAATCAATAAAGATTCAGTCTGAACAATTCAAATACATTTTCTGATGGCTCATTTTTCTGCCTATATATCAAACTGATCCAGATCACATACAAGGAAATTGGCGATTATACTGCGAGTTAATGCGAAAAATGGGTAGGATTTTTTTTTTTTGTTAAAGACCATTTTGTTATAGATATCGGAGGACAATGTTAGGTTTATTCAATGATGATTATAAAGTTAATGTTTGTACATATGAACTATTGGAGAAATGAGATGCTTCACTCCGTTTACTGCAAACTGTCATGCAATGGTGGTGGAAAATTGCTAATGTTTGTTCACGGCTAATCACAGTTCTCAGAAGACCACTCTGTTCTGTGATTCAATCAGAGGAGCATTTTGTCCTATGACCTGATCAGTTGCATTGTCAGAAGAACACTCTGTTTTGTAACCCACCCCATGTGTTATGATCTGCTAATAAAAGACGACTGCAGGAGGGGGGTCGGGAGAAAGACTTAAAAGTTGGGTTGGGCTCTTTCCACTCCTGCAGGAGCTGTTTGAATCTCTTTCCTGTGTGGACTCAGTTCTTCTTTTACGAACCTACATTTTTGAACCTAACAGACAACATTTCAATTTTAATATTAATTAAAATACTATTGCGAAAAAAAGTTTTCTGAGTGAGTGAATGTTGTTTTTATTATCTCTAATTTTCTTTCCTACAAAATTTTGAATTGGACCTTGGCTGGTTCCCTACATTTCCTTTTTAAACATCAATCTTTGTACCAAAATATTCTTTCTGTCATGATTTGTAGACATTAAGATCTAAAGAGAAGCATCATCTCCTGGTCAAACTTGGTAATTCAGTGAAAGGTTGGAGGTGGTCCCTCCAGCGGCTGGAAGTTGGAGAGGATTTCAGTGGGAGGAAAGTGGGCTGCCATTCGGCTGCCGTTTGACTGGGAAGAGCCATTTTGAATGGCTGCTACTGTCTATACTGTATATAACAAGAATATAAACTTTTTTTATTGTATTTTAGGTTTTATATTATGTAATACCAGCAGAAGATATTAGACGTTACCTTCAAGTTGTCTCCAAGCCACCAGTAAAAGACAGTCAGGTTGGCGTTGGTGGGAAGAACTATGGCTGTCAGGTTGACCTCATTGTTTCTCCTGGCAATGGGGACAGCTTCCAGGTGAACTTCCTGCAGAGGCTCTGTACAGGATAAGGATTGACTATTATTCTTATATGACCACATGTTTATTTTACTTTGCTTCACCCCAAAACCTCTCTCTGTATGTTATCCTTGCCCTTCCTGTCACGACCAGTTATTTACTTAAATGTAAAAAAAAACAAAAAAGACACATTCAGCAAGACTGACACAGTTTCCTCTGCCCCCTTTACACATCAATTAACAAATTGGGTCACTTCCATAAACCTCTCTCTGTATGTTATCCTTGCCCTTCCTGTCACGACCAGTTATTTACTTAAATGTAAAAAAAAAAAAAAAAGACACATTCAGCAAGACTGACACAGTATCCTCTGCCCCCTTTACACATCAATTAACAAATTGGGTCACTTCCATAATCATGCCTAAGGTTTTGCTCCTTAATAAGAATAAAAAAAGCTTAGAGGAGATCTGATTGTCTGGTAAACAACTCTTTTAATTCTAGTTGAAACCGCGCAGCCTTTCCCATCAGCTTTAGCTGTGCTACTAATGACCGTATTATTAATTTTCACAGACAATATGGCAATAATCACTACGGCTGCATTAGAGGACAATGTTATGAGGTATAATTGCAGGAAATATCAAACACAGAATGGGTTTTATTTCACTTTTTACATAAGTTTGATTTAAAGAAATTACCACAATCTGTAAAATGATTTAACTTCCCTTCTCATTGCTGGTTAGTCCAGTATTGGAGCACCTTCTTAGCATCCACTGTGATTGCCTGACCACTTCCTGGTCTTCTTACCAGAATTTCCTTCCTCAAATTTCTATTATAATTCACCTTCTGTTTCTTTGCAGTAATGATGTTGCTGAAAAGTTGCACTAATCTTTCTGATTTGGCAACAGTCTATTATTTGCTTTCTTTGTCACCAAAATGCATATACTGCTAACCATTCAAGAGCAGCATCTAATTGTTCTTGAACAGTTATGGTTTTTGTTTTTTGTCAATTCCTGGTTGGCAGGTAAGGGTTAAGTTTAGTGCCACCAAAACATATAAGAATAACTTTCATTTAGATTGAAAAAAAGCAAAAAAGGATGTCATAAAAATAGTAAATTGTCATTCCTGAGAAAAAGACACAGCTGTAAGGGTTCAAATTAAGTGTATTTAGTAAATCAAAGCATGGTGCGCATTAATAGGTACACCTTTCTGCCATTCAAGAGATTTATAACCTTACTTTCATTAATATAGAAACAGATTTGTCTGTAAAAATCAGGCCCATTTTCAATTATTCCTGAACTAGACTATGTAGCAGTGGAACCGTGTCCTTGTAGTAGGGGAAAAAAGTATTCAACTATTTACTCCAGTCAAATAAACAAGATCGATGGTGTGAGGGATTTACCCCCCTCACTAATTGGTGTTGTAAGCAGGCATTTCATGTCTTTCAGAAAAAAAAATTGTTATTGGGGGAAGGTTTAAGTTTTTGTCTTTATTGATGTAACTTGTATATTTTTGTTTGGTTCTCAGTACTCTGTTTTTCTTTGAGGTTACCTGGTCACGTGTTGCCATGGAAGCGCACCCATGAGCAGTGCTAACAAGGACCTGGTGTTTCCAATCAGCCTCATAAGGGAAATCCATACTAACTCAGAAGGAGCGGAGATGTTTTGAGTTTTGTCTGGACTTGGAGTATTGTTTAACTTCAATTTGTTTAAGTTAATTGTAAATGTGTGTTATTTATTGTTTTTCCTCTAGAGGTATAATTTAGTTCACTTCTTCACAAACAGAAAATGTAAATGTTAAAGTTTCCACCCCTTACAGGCTGATAATTCAGAAAGCTGGGTTGTTTAAATGTGGGTGTGCTTTCTTCTCTCTGTGTTTTTTTTTTTTTTTCTGCTGTGATTGAAGAGAGTGGAATCCTTGCCTCTCTGCTTTGAAATTTAAGAGGTCCTCTTTGCATATACACTCACCGGCCACTTTATTAGGTACACCTGTCCAACTGCTCGTTAACACTTAATTTCTAAGCAGCCAATCACATGGCGGCAACT